CCCCCCCCCCCCCCCCCTTCCCAAAAAAAGGAATTGCATAACCATTGTCTTCGATTTCTCTTGAGACGGCTATAATACCCATGTTACCCAGGAGAAATTGGAAACAATGGTTATGCACAACTTTGGGGGGTTAACAAGACGCATTATGGTCTATGTGAAAATGGTCCTGTAAAGGATAGCAGAAGATTCGTCAGTAATCTGGGAGAGATCACATTATCACATATACGATCTTCCCGGTCTGTATAAAAGTCTCTGAACAATCAAATAGCCGGAAATGAAAAATTGTTTGGGAGGGATTGGTCACTTCTGTATGCAAAATATTTTCCGTATTTCTACCCAAACTTTAGCTTATGGTAATAGAAAAGAGGACGGCAGAGTTCGTTCCCGGTTTGTTGAAACTCGATATTTTCAATCCGAGGAGCAGCTAGCCTCCCACGCGCGTCGAAGTCCCAAGGAGATCTGCGGAGCAGCTCGTTATCATCCGTCCCAAACAATATCTGCCAGGATCTCGTCAACTGCCAAATTGTTTGCCGAAGATAGCGGAAAACATGGGCGGCTAACCGGTAAGACAAGAATTTCTCTTTGTGAACTTTCGCCCAAGAAAATCCTCTCCCCGGTCCGGTTAATGGAGAAGACACAGTCTAGCGCGAAACGCGAGAGACGTGCGTGGAGCGCGGGACGAGGGGGAGAGAGAGAACATTGTGCAGGGGAGAAATAGTTAAAGCAGCGATTGAATTCCCCGTAAAGTGGTTATCGGTTTGCGTGCAACACGTATATTGTAAGGTTGAAATATACGTGACACAAACCAATAACCACTATACGGCGACAGCTTCCTAATGTCAAGGACAAAGACAAACCAGAGGACAGACAGGGAGCAGTATACAAGATCAAATGCTGCGACTGCCAGGCTTCATACATTGGTGAAACCTGCAGACGCGAGTGACCGAACACAAAATAGCGACGACGAATGGTGACGTCAACAATCACATTGCTGAGCACCATTTACATACGAAACATCACATTGACTCTGCGACATGTATAACGTATTCTACAGACTACTATCAACGTCTTACCTTAGAAAGCTGGTTTACTAACTTAGAACAAACGCCACTGAACATGAATCGTAGCCAACATAACCACCAACGCCGTACAAACGACTTATTGACGAGATCAAGCAAAACTAACTACGAGAGAACGACTGGAGAACTGACAATTTGACTAACAAAAGACGACTGTTTAATTGTGACAATAGACGGTTCGAAACGCACCAATTACTGATTATGAGTCTTCATAGCCAATAACATCACGGCTTAGCTGACAGACGACCAATATATAACATCGCGGCATAATTGACCAATCAGATCATTAACCAGAGTTTAATACCATCAACTGACGTGATACAACTCATGTTGACTAAGAAGATGACTACCGCACAGGTTGTCGAAACGTCAGTTACTGTCAACAACAACAGTCCTATTCAGGACTACGTTCACCCGGACGATCAAACTCAACCTACTTTAGAAATGACTCCTTGGTTCAAACCTTTCACAGAGAACTAGCTAATCTGTAAGTTGCGCTGATTTCCAAAATTAGCTGTGGGCTCTTAGCCAGTGAGAGGACAGATAATGAGTACAATGTAGAATAATGAGAAATAGGGGCCCCCAGACTTACTTTACACGTGTATTTCTTATATAGTATTGCAACTCAAAATCTTTAAAACTCGCCAAAACGGCCTCGAAATGGCTCTAGAAACAAACAGAAAAGACACAGCACAAACACGAGGTGAAAAGCACCAAAGGCAGAAGCCGATTATAGTAATCGGCCCCGACGAAGGGAACACAGCGAAAAAGCGCCGAAAAGACTGGAGGTGACTTCTAATGCTCAATTTGCCGCTTTTGCAAGTCTTTTTTAGATCTGCACGTCGGAGTCGTAATTATCACCACATTGCTGTCTTTAAAAGGTGCAAAAGTTTCACATTACCAAGCAATAAAAGAAATAAAAGATCTAGGTGTTTTTAATTTGGAATGCAACATTGAATCCAATAGAATAAGAAAAAAAGCAAAGAGCAGCCTTACGGCACATACTCAGCCAAACGCGCCATGACTTCCTGCTAACCCGGGCTTTTCATTTAGATGTGGAAAAACTATGCACAGTTAGTGCAAAGGAATTCGCGAAAGGAAAGAAGCGTTTTCGTTTGTATTACATGCTAACGGCCAATATTTCGGCTAGTGAAAGAGCAAGCAAACAGAACCAGACACTTTTAGTAAAATATAAACATTGTCATCAGGGTCGCTAAGCAACGCGCATGTCACAAACCTAAAGAGATA